CTTTATGACACCACGCGGAAGCCTAACATTCTCCTTGAGTTAACTCAAGGGACACCTACACCAACCAATGTGTCACACTAACGTAGCCATCGCCTCAACTGTATCGGTATACGCCATATAATCTTCATGATCTAAAGTGTCCCATGTTCGAGGGACATGACTGTTTTTTATCCGAAGGCAACGAGTGGAGTTACCCTAGAGGTGCGAGTGTGCGAAGTGTGTTATGATTCAGTTATTTTAATCTTTCAGATTAGGGTTAGCTATCGTTTGATTTTAAATCTTATCATGCAAACCTAATTACTATACAGTTATATATATACAGGCAGACATACATAGTATAGGTGCGGAAAGTAAAGTGCGGGAAATAAAACCTACGCTATTACAATGCTTCAGGGATGGGGTTACAAACCATAAAAATAGGGGGGAAATAGTAAACCCTAGTTTATCTATTACAACCTTTAGCGGTTACAATATTTAGTAAAACTCGCGTAAAACTTAAATCTAAAACTATTACAACTTGACGTGAAGCTTATACATTCGATCTAAGAAATTTAAATAGCGAAGAAAATAAGTATTAAGAGAGATATTTTTAAAGAAATCTAAAAAACCCTAATTTGATATTTTTGGTATTTTTGTTAAATGATTAACCTAATTCTAAATTAAATTATAAATTATTAAATGAAATAAAACCTAAGTCTAAAATTGATTAAAAAGGTTAATTAATTTAAAACATCTCTTTTTTTATTTTATGATTTAAATTGATTTACTTAATTATATTTAAAAAAAAATTTAATTATCTAAAATAAAATAAATATCAAAACAAAAAAATAGAAATGGGCCTGAAAGTAATTCAGGGGGTGTCAGAAAAGAAAACTGTTTGAGCCCAAAACAATGGCCTAGTTGCTGCTTGTGATCTAGTACAACTCATCCCTAGGGGTTTAACATGGTCGTGAGATTTGATCCCCTGGATCTGGATCTGATGGTGCTGATGTGAGAGCGCATGGTGAACTTGCAACGACTTGGCATGCTGGATTTGCAAACAAGAAATATGAAAAAAATAACATACCAGGGGCAGGGATCGAACCTGTGCCCTGGTACACTAACGCTCTAGCAAGCACGCTTCTACTGCTGGGGAGGCTCTATATCCGGTGTTATAATTGAATCAAAATAAACATAACATCAACAACATGGTATGACTGGAGAGGCGTCGGAGCCCTAGCTTCGGTCGACTTCTCTGGTGGCTTCCCTTTCTTTAAACCTGTGAAACAGTAAATATTAGAGATCCAAGGGGACCCTCCCCCCAAAATCATGGCCTATGAGTTCACTGGAATAATTAGTTTGGGTTGAAACGGCCTGTAAAGTGAGATATGAAGAAAAATCCCTAGCTCAGTTCAAACATGATGATGCGTGATTCTGACACCAAAAATATCATGTGATCGTTTATTAATGTCTTGAACTCTATTATGAATGCATATATATCATAGAAAGATGTTAAATATATTTGTAATCGATTATACACAAACAACCAAAAACCTTACCACTGGTGAGTCTGTGAGGGACGTTCTAGGCACAGTTGGGCGCGTTTATGGACCTGTGGAGACTCTTGGAAACCTTATAAGTGATGAGTGATCACTCGTTTCAATCGATAGAGGCTCGAACTTTGAGATACAAGCTTTCACTTTCTTTGGAATTTTGTGTTTTGAAAACCCTGGCTCTTGAGGCAACATCTCGTGTCCTGTTTGGTTTGAATGTTGTGGTATAATATCATGTGTAATCAAGTGTATGATTTGTTTCTAAATTCCATTCAAAAACTTTCCAAAAGTGAATATTTCCTTCCCAATCCATTCCACACGGTTTCTTCATGGTTGTCAAGTGTTTATGGGCTTCCAACCTGATCCAAAAACCCAACCATGCGCCTAGGCCCATTAGCCACATATTTGTTTTTGATTTAATTTGCTTTAGATGAATAAAAATTCAAATAAAAAAAATAAAAAATCATGAACAATATGGGGATGGTTTAAGGGGTCCTCTAACATATCATGAACACATTTGAACTTTAAAATTTAGGCCCATTAACTCAAAAGTGCAATTTTGCTCAAAGTGGACTTCATGCATTTTCTCAAAATTTCCCAATTTGCAATGGTCATAACTCTCTCAATTTTCATCTTTTGAAGGTAATCTTTGAACTTTTGGAAAGATCAAGATGTCTACTTCAATTTATCTTTTGATCATTTTTGCATTTGGAGATTTATCTTGATGCAAGTTGCCTTGGAAAAAAATGTCTTTTTGTTGACTTTTGAAAATGACATGTAATGTATTAGCTCATATCTTTCAAATGAAGCATTTTTTGGACTTTATCATACATATACAAAGATGTAGAGAATTGGATTTCCTTTTACATGGGCTTTGATTGGGAAAAAGTTGATGAAGCATGTGAAAGTTATGCTTGGTCAAAGTTTAGTTAACTTCTCCTAAGGAAACCCTAAATTGGCAACTTTGGACTTTTGATGATTTGAGGAATTATCTTGAGGAATCATGATCAACCCTTGATAAAATGATGAGTATCATTCCAAAATATTGGTTTTGACCAAAAATCTTGAAGTTTGACTATATGTTGACCATAATTGACTTTTTACCCAATACAGTTGACTTTCAATCATCTGAGCTATTGACTAAGCAAACTTGTGATGCAAGGCTTGAAACTTGACATGATCACTATTGAAGACCTATGATGAACCATTAAAACCATTTGAGACATTTGAAACCCATTCTTCCTTGTGCAAGATGAAACCCTAGTTGTGGACCCATTGCTTAGGAGAAGAATTTGTCTGATCAACTCTTGAGAATCCTTAAGCATTTGAGAATCCTAGAAGAATGTCTTGAAGAAAATGGGAGGGAAAATTTTTGGGTACAACACAGAGGAATGGGAAAAGAGTGAATAACCCAAAAAAAGAGAGGGGGAGAATCTAGGTACGGGGGTTGGTTATGCAAAGAGAATGTATTAACACCCTAAACATATACGGTACTCCGCAGGAACTTCTTTGAAAATTTGTGTATCTTCGCTATAAAGAATTGTTTGCAAAAAATGCATGAATGAATTAATTGGGAAAAGAAAAGGTTTTTTATTATTGCGTTCATCTGAATCTTTCAACCCAGTGCCTACGTATCTCATGAGGAATCAAAACATTTGTAGTTCTTTCTGAAAAAAGGTTTTATTTGTTGATTGTTTTTTAATGAAAGAAATGTTGTCGTATTCGATTGGAAACATACTTACTACCCACAACTATGAGGAAGAATAATTTGCATCATCTCAAAGTGGAGGATCTTGGATTAAAATCAACAAGACATGACTCAACACCCAAGTGAGAAATGTCAATCACTTCACTACATATTGTAGAATTATAGTAGCTTGCATCACTACAAGAATCAACAAGAGCCTAGTCTTTTGGGAAAAAAATATTTTTAAAGAGAAAAGTGCACAAATGACACAAAATAATTTGAATGAGTTAGAGTATTTTGTTTGGAGAATATCTCAAATGGTCCTAAGGTTGAGTTAAAGGGAAAGTTATCCTGATGTTATTGTGCTTGTATTAACATCATAAGGTCTAATCAACATAAGACAATCAAAAGAGAGATTCGATCTTTTCATGAAAATCCTAAAGGAAACATGCCATTTCAACACAAGATAATCCTCAATACTCAAACGTCTTATTTGATCAATATTACACAAAGAAAACACATAAAACATGATGTTTAAACTTGATTTAAAAAAGAAATTAAAAACATGAAGAAATAATAAAAATAAAATCTAATTAAATCATAAAATACTTCTAAAAAGACCTAAAGCATTTTTATATATCCTTTTATTATTTCTAATCATAAAATATTTTTAGTACGATATAAAAAATTCAAAGTCCATTATTTATACCAATATAACTTCAAATTTGTTAATCGATAAAGATGAGGAAGAAATGAGATAGAGATCTCAAAATATTGAAGTATAATAGAATAGCTCTATATTAGACCGTAAATATATTATGTTTAGTGTTTATATATATGCACTCGATTTCATGTGTCTCTCGACAACCTCACTTTGAAATCTTTAAAAAATTGAGATATTTTAACGAAATCTCGCTTCACAAATTTTAATTTTATATAAATAAAGTACACATATTTAAATGTTTGCCAAATTTTCCCATAATAACTATAAGCAACTGTCATAATGAACTAAAAAACAAATACTAGTAGTTCACGAACTTGTGAAGAAATAGATAGCACTAACGTTGCGTCTCGTGCAAGTAATCTCCTGTTTGCTTAATTTTCTTGCAAATAGAAGAGTCAAATAAACACTGTTTAAAATATATAATTACTTATAGTTTCAAAACCTCATTAACTACTATTAGTATTTCAGATGAAGATTTGTGACAAATTAAATTTGTGCAACAACCAACCATGATCTGATTGAATTTCATAACCACTTTATCTACCTTGCAATTTTGGTTAAAAGTTACAGTGCCAAACAGAGAAAAGAGCAGTAAAATTCGTCATGATCAGATGTTTCAGGTTTCCTCCAATCTAAGTTACCTCCCAATTGAGAAGAAAAAATAACCATACAGGAAAATTAGAATCATCTGGTATATTCGAGATCTCAATCATTCATACATTTAAAATATATTTTGTTTGATCAAGATTAAATCATTTAAATTCAAATAAAATATTTCAAATTATAAAATAAAATTATAAAATTTACATTTTAATATTACGACTGCAATCGTAATTGTAGATTTCAATTTAAAATGATATTTTTATTTTATGGTTCCTATATATGACTTTACTTTGAATTAAAAAATAATATACTGATAATGTAAAATAGTTTTACATTATCATTCAATAAAAAATAAGTATTCTGTCATGTTATTAAAAAAAATTAAAATAAAAGAGCGACTAAATTAAATACATAATTGTGATTTGTTTACTGCGTAAAACTATATTACATTGTTTCAACCATTTTTTTTCTTTTTGGCTAAAGATGTTGTGTTTTCACAACCTATGTCAAAAAAATTTAGCCAATTAGAGCTTGTGTTCCAAAGAGAGAAACAACAGAAAAACATTAATGTCAAAATAATGACATTAAATTTACCACAAAAAATTGTCACTACTAAGCTTATGAGAATCATCATGTATATTCCTAGGCATTGAAACCTTTGTTTCTTCTCTAGTTGACATTCATTGGACTTTGATAAACTCTTTGATTCAGATACCGGCGAGCATGGAGAAGATGAAGAACTTGACAAAGACGATTCAATTCCCTTGATTTCTTCAATATTAGTCTTGAAAGATGATGATGAAGTTCTTGTATGTAATGAATAATTACGCTTTGATCCGAAACAATTTTGACTATAACGTTTTTTCTTGTGAGCTCTTGTATTCTGTGAAGCAAAGAAAAATATTCAATATGCATGATAAATTGATATGATAACAAATCATTGTTTTCAAACAATGTTGATTTAAAAGACTAACCAATATGGTTTGAAACACCACAGCTTTAATCACCTTAGCAAGTGTTTGTTTTGGAGGATGATCAACAACCTGATTCTGTATCAAACTGCTTGCTGGATTTTGTGTCTCGTGTTTACGACGATTAGTAGAAGGATAGGTGATATTGACATCTTCAGATTCATCGAGCATAGTATCGAAATCGACGGGACGGAAACATGTTAAGAACTTGTTCTTTGAAACACTCTTCATAGTTTTATAAATTGTGTAACTATGAGAAAGAGATGATGATAGTAACTAGTATTGGAAGAATGTGTGTTTATATATATATTGTTGGAGTGAATGTGAAGGGATGATATTGAGGACGAAAATAAAGAGGAGTATTTTGCATTTGAGGAGAGAATATTGAGGTTAAGGCCTGCAAAGATGTTTGTTTTTCAAGTTAGACAAACAAGTACTTATTAGTAAGTACCTTTGTTGTGGTTTTAATAATGAATAACGTGTGTTTGGTTTTGTATTGTTGACCAAGGTGATTTGTTTGTGAGAGTGAGTGATGATTATAATAGAGGCTATGGGCGGGGGGAATTAGGGAGGGGAACTTTGGGGGTATCCGTGGGGGACAGGTAAGCATTTGGTAATTTAAGGATGTGATTGCAATTAATATAATAATTATGTATAAGACAATATTATAAATCTTATTGTGGAGACTATATATCATTATAATTTATTAAGAAGAAACCTTAAACTTGATATTCAGTGTACAAGAAAATTATACCTCTCACTAATACTACTATAATAGTTAGCAAAAAGGTTTCACCATATTTAGTTGTCTATGATAATGTTATCATAGAAAATGTGTCACTTTTCATCATTATTGAAATACTAATTGAGGTGAAAAGTTGTTTGTTTTTGGATTCCGATTCCAATAATAATATTTTAAAATTTGTAAAATGGCGCGTTTTAAGATTTTTCTCCAATGTTGAAATAATAATCGAGGTGGCAAAATATATATTTTTCACTATGATTTTGTCTTTACAAGAGAGGATATGTATTAAGGATAACTTTTCGTTACGATTCTAAGTTTTAATTGTGGAAAAATATATATTGTATCTTTTGTCACTTTAATTATGGTCTTGACATGTTGGGTTGAACGAAATATATATCTATATATCTGTTCTGGTCTGACCAAATACCTAAGTATGGTTCAATCCACTTCTACATCCAAGATGTCCCAACAGTTTTGGTCCAATCAATTGAAGCTGATAAAAGACATCTTTCTCCTCTGTCCCTCAACCGAAAACACGTGGTCGGTTGTTCCCCCAGGACCAAGGTGACCACTGCTACCCTCAGCAACACCTCTGTCCGTAGTTGCTTCTTCCCATAAGTCAGGGACACATGGTCTGTTGTCCCCCCAGGACCAACAAGACCATATATGTATGCTCAAACAGGCTAATCCTCATCCTGCCAGCCACACGAGGACAGCCACCCAGGAATGGTCAGAATCATATTTGCCCATGAGCACCTCTCTGCTCGTCATAACGGTTAGCTTCCTTCACGGTCTGCTTGACACACATAGAGAAGACACACAGGAAACACTCATAAATGCTTATGCCCGTCATTTTATCCTTGCTCGATTCAACGGCTAGTTACTGACACAACTTCCCATTTTGACCAAGTCCTGACAGTTACCTATTTTTAAGACCCCGCATATCTAGGCTCAAAAATAGAGACCAATGGTCAAGCTTCGGGGGCATTATATAAACCCTCACACATGTAAGGGTCAAGTATCCAATATTTATCACTAAAACCTTAATCCCTCTCCTGTATCTATTTGCGCTCCTACTGACTTTAACATCAGAGTGCCTTGCAGGTACGCCCCCTCCTCGTCCATTCCACCATTGAAGTCGAAGTCTCTAGCCTACTTTAGGTTCTGATCAATCGGTAATATCAGTGGCTTCGTATGTGATAAACTTACTCTCCCCATCTTTCTTTCCCCTAAAACGAAAGATCAAAGCAGATAATAAAGGTTCCAGTCATGGCCAGCTTTGACGACATAAACAATTCTCACAAACCCATCATTTCCCCTTTCTGTAAGGCATATGATTGTTGTGGGGTGCCCTTTCTTGAAGAGTTCATTCCATCGAAGAATGGTCGCACCGCCTCATTATCCTTTGACGAGGCTGAAGACATCGACGTCTAAGCTCACGAGATCAAGAAAGCTCAAGAAGAAGCATCAGAGAAAACGCAGGTAAATCCCTGCTCCGCCCAACGCTCCTTCTCAGAGAGATCACATCTCCCTGGTAGCCAAGAAACCGGAGGGCGGATCGAGAAGCCCATCTCCTTGACGAGACAATTTTCCCCAACGAGGGAAGCACAACTTTTCTCCACCACCATCACCGAACTGGAGCGACGAGGAAGGCCCCCGCGGTCCGTTGTCTCGGGCTATCATGGATGTTCCAATCCCCATCAGACTAGAAACACCCCCAAACTTGGGAACATATGATGGGATTAGTGACCGCGACGAGCATGTCAAAAACATTGACACCCTGCTCGACTATCAAGGCGTTATGGGCGCTATTAAGTGCAAGTTGTTCCCAACAACTCTAAGAAAAGGAGTAATGTCTTGGTACAAAAACCTCCCCAACGAATCGATCAGCTCATGGAAGCAGTTAGGGGAGATGTTCTCAAGGAACTTCACTGCCCCTTGCCGTCATCCAAAGACAGAGGCCTCACTAGAAGTGATCATACAAGGAAAAGAAGAATCTCTATGAGCATACATCGAGAGGTTCAATAGAGAAGTCGTTCAGGTCTCCACAACTGACAATATGAAAAAGTACTTGCTAGAGCGAGGACTATGCCCCCGCAACGATTTTGCCAAAGCAGTTGGCATAGAAACACCGGCCACACTAGACGCCCTCCTCCTTAAATCCCAATCGTACATCTAATACAAGGAGAAAGTGACTGCAAATTATGCTCGGCATTGCAGCATAAATGAATTCACCAGCCCCCCCGACGAGAGGAGCGCATAGACAAACCATGTTCCCCGCGAACACAACTGCTGAGCAGGCACATGTTCCATGCGAACGCAGCTGCTGAGCAGGAACATGTTCCCCGCGAAGACAACTGCTCAACAGACACTTGTTTCCAGCGAACACAACTGTCGAGCAGATATACGTTTCTCACGAACACTCCAGACTAGCCGACATATATTCCCCGCGAACACAACTTTCAAGCAAGCACATGTTCCCCGCGAACATAATTGCTGAGTAGGCACACGTTCCCCATAAATGCAACACCAATCATACATCCTGTCGAAGCTCGCAAGCACAAAGAAGAGAGGCAGATCAAGTTCGTCATCCAAGAGATACTATCGGGTTCGAGCAAAAATGAAAATGGGGTGTACTATCTCGAAAACCTGTACGGGGAACAATTTGCTCGACCTTGGAACACCGAAAAACTAAGGCAATATTACAGTTAAGACACTAATACAGTCGACGTGTCTCGTCGAAACAACGAACACAATTTTCCCGACTACATGTGCATGCCCAAGTACAAGCATGGCACTCCAAATTAAATATAGAGGCAAGTCTCCACTCTTTTAATGAGTAGATTCTTAGCCTGGCGTGGAAAACTCAAACGATCTCCACTGTCGTCGTACCACAATGGCAGAACACCCAGCTCGCGATGGGAAGTTCACGCTTCCTAGCTCGGGCCTTTAAAATGAGACCTGAGTTTTGGCCTATGATAGGTGATCACCCTGGCCGTTCGACCACTAACCCACACTAGCGGACTCAAATACTAACGAGCAAACCCCCGAAACTCTTAATCAAAATAAAACTTCTCAGGCAGACAAGCATACAGACATGCATAAACCTAATAAATAACAATATACCACGTATGAGCATGTCCTCATAAAGATCATGAAACGTCTTTGTTGCGAACAACAAACGCCAACAACGTGTTTTCCTCCTCGATGCACGGGCTGGCTCTAAGTCATCACTCCTATGCCTAGAAGCAACGACTTGGGGGGCTCATGTTCTGGTTTGGCCAAATGCCTAGGCTTGGCCCAATTCACTTCTACATCCAAGATAACCCAACAGCTTTGGCCCAATCAATTGGAGAAGATAAATGACACCTTTCCCCTCAGCCCCTCAACTGGGGACACGTGGTCGGTTGTCCCCCCAGGACCAATGTGACCACTTCTACCCTCAGCAAAACCTCTTCCCACAGCTGCTTCTGCCCCTCGATCAGGGACACATGGTCTCTTGTCTCCCCAAGACCAATAAGACCATATTTGTCCGCTCAAACAAGATAGTCCTCATCCTTCCAGCCACACAAGGACAACCACCCAAGAATGGTCAGAATCATCTTTGCCCATGAACACCTCTCTGCTTGTCATAACGACCAGCATCCTCCCCTGTTTGCTCGACACACGTAGAACAGACACCAAGGAAACGCTCATAAACGCTTCTTCCTGTTATCTCATCCTCGCTCGATACAATGTCTAGTTACGGGCACGATTGTTTGTTTTGACCAAGTCCTGACAATTACCTATTTTTAAGGACATACATATCAAGGCCCAAAAATAGAGACCAATGGCCAAGCGCCGAGGGCATTATATAAACCCTCACACATGTGAGGGTCATGTATCTAATATTCATCATTAAAACCATAATCCCTCTCTTGTATCTATTTGTGCTCCTACTGACTTTAGCATCGGAGTGCCTTGCAGGTACACGTCATCATCCTCCATTCCAGCATTGAAGTCGAAGTCTCTGGCCCACTTCAGGTTCTGATCAACCGGTAAGATCAATATCTATATAATATATTAAATTCAATGCATCGAATATTGTAGCAACACATAATCAATTATAACTCTAAAGTTTTCCACATTATCCTATAGTCCTATGTGGCACATCTCAAAACTCATTCTCACTTTTTAAAATGTCAAATACAATACTTTTACAAATTGAAGGTCACGAGTTCGAATCCTCACAAAGACGGAATAACATCTCATTTTGAAAAATTGGTCTAACAAACCAATCATTACTCCAATCATGTATATTCTTTTAAATTAAAAAGATTATATCATATTTCAAAAATAAAAGAGATATGCAAATCAAAACACAATAAAAATTTTTTTTGTTCTTTTGAAATTATAGCAATGAAGTAACATTTGAAATAAATATTTTTAATCTTAAAGTAGTTCTTATATAATTTTTAAATATAAATCACTTTAAACTTATTTAAAA